TTGGGTTAATAAAAGAGTAAAAACGGATTTAGATCATTTCCAAAATTTCATTTTATCAGCCAATAATATCAAACAACCCAGTTTACCATAATATTCATTTAATATTCAATATTTGCTCAGCCAGACGAGGGGCTTATGGGAAATATAAATTATGAATGACCAACTTTGTCATAGAACAGGGTGGGATAGTCAAATTTAAGGAACTTTTAAGTAACTTTAAAAGTTTTAATATTAATATTATTATTTTTACAATATTATTGCCTTTCATTAAAGTTTAATCTCATAAAAAACACATATTTTTATTATGTTTTTCTTGTTGTGGATGTTAAAGAACACTAAAACATCAGTGTGTAATTTTCCAGACATGTATCATCATCAGGTTAGCTTTTCACTTCATGAATGGAAGAGGAAACATAAAAGCATAAATCTAACCATGACTACATAATCAGACCACCGTCCTACTTGCAGAAGAAGTCAACAATGGTGATTGTCAGAGTTTAAAATATATCTGAATAGAACTGGAGTTGTTTCTTGCTAACAATGTGCTGGGTGTTCCAGAAACAGACCAGAGATAAACCATTACAGACTGTAAAACTGTCATAAACGGCATTTTGGGCCGCAGACTTTTGATTGCAATCGCAAGCTTTTGTCTTTTACTTATTGCTGAACCTCCATCTTGGAAGCAAACATGTCCAGGAGCCTCATTTATCAAGCTTGCTTATGCACGAAACGGGGTCGGAAAACTGCGTAAGCAACTTTCCACGCAAACTTTGGGATTTATGAAAGAAAACTTAGTGGAAAAATGTGCAACTTTAAGTTGACTAAGGACCTGGCTTACGCACATGTTGGACATGGAGAGCACCTGCAGTGCTGCTGCTGAGAAGGATAACATGATGAATTCCTGCAGCATTATCACTTGTACTGCTTCATTTTCACACAGAACAAGACCCCCACATGCACACACGTGCGCACGCACACACACACACACACACACACACACACACACACGCACTGCCTAAAACTCAGAATACGGAATGCAGAATATCAGCAGGGGGACAGATTGAGACAGAATGTCATGCGTCTGTTACAGTGTGTGTCCTGTCACTGTGACCCAATTGATCATGCGCCCTGGCTACTTGGACAAGGGAGATCTCCGTTTGTGTGACTGGTTAGCGTGCGTGACTTTCATCCGGGAGTCTGGGGATCGGATCTCGATTGGACCATTGTTTTTATATCCGCCACAGATCTCTCTGAATAATTCACAACATTGACGGCTTCAGCAACGCTGTGCCACTCCGTGGATTTTATCTTATTTGTTTTGCAAAAGTACTTCCTTTCATTTCTCCGCCTCACCCACAGGTACCTCAACTTCTGCTTCTGTGAAATTGTGCTGCCTTGATCTGCCTTGATCTACGGTCGCCATGTCATTGGCGGAGCGCTGCAACAGCCGGCTTATGTGAATGCATGAGATCCACAAGCCACTTTGCATTGACCATTTATGGCAGTAAGTGGGCGTGGTGAGGGTAGGATGTGACTAAAAAGCAGCTGAGAAACATTCTCGTTAGTCTCCGATTTATGAAGCGGAGATTGCGTGCAGCTGTGCGTACTTCATGTTTGATAGATCACAAACCTACTTGGCGTAAGTACATTTTTTTTGCTGAGCTTAAGTACGGATTTAGTAAGGATTCTACGCAATGTTTGATAAATGAGACCCCAGGTCTGTGGAAGGTGCTGCCGATTGGTCCTTACATGTTCACAGCTGCAAAAGTCTCCCTGCTTCAGGATAATAGAGAAGTGTTTGCTGTTTTCATATTGATGCCATTTACCATCAAAGTCCTGAGGGGTCTTCCCCTTGATGGGCCTAAGGCTTCCCGATGCCTCTCGAACGACTAAAACTTTATTAGTCATCTGTGACAACGTTTTTGGAGGTTTTTTCCTTCATAAAATTCAAGAGGAAAAATAGTGAGATTCTCCATTTCTTCTGAGTGGACCGTCTTGAAGTGCGGTAACAGGGAAAGAGCTTATGGCATTCAGAACCTCTGCTGCAGCAGTGAAGCTGTCAGTCTGCCTGGAATGGACCAGCAGCCTCCCCTGAAGGGGCTTTTTTATTCCCAGGCCTAAAAATGCACATTCCCAAAAGAAAAGGGCACTCTGTCATGCATTAGTTCACCACAATGACAATTATATTCTAATTAGACACATGCTAAAGTGATGGTGTGTATTTTCCCTGGCGGTAAGGGGCAGTACATACCTGAATCACTGCAAGCAAGCAGTGTTTTTGTGTTTGATTAAGACCTTACCAACGGATGGCCATTAGGGTCAAAACACCTGAGAGTGCAACCTCCAGCAAAACGACAAGAACGTCAGATGCTCCTTCATCCGTGGCGACGAGTGAAGAGGTACAAATCAGTAAATGTGTTTTGTCCTCACGGGCTCCTGTAGAAGGTAACGTGGTGTCGCCCAGAGACCAGATTTTTATGCTCATATGTTACGAAGCTACTAATTTTTCAACAGCTGGGCATCATTTCATTCATTTTCAACAACATTTCGATGGATTTTTCCGGAGATTAACGGTAAATGTCTTTAGCATTGCGGAAGACTTTAACCCTGTGATGCATAATGGTCACTACAGTGGACAGGTACTCAAAATTGTTTTATTTTTTTTAGTTTTGCTATTAAGCACAGCTGTTGAAGACTTTATTGCATTTGAGCCCCTCCATTCGTCGCTTCAGTAAGGCAAGCCAACATATTTCCTGTTCAGAATGCACGCTGTCCACTGAGGTGGACATGTAATGAATTATTAGTAAATTATTAAATGTTACAAAAAATATTTGTTGAAATTTGTTTCATTCACACCTGAAGATGAATGAAAAAAAATCATGGTTGAAGATTTCATAATTCATGCATCAAAGGGTTCAAATGATTTGACAGGTAAATGGCCTGTATTGTATAGCACCTTCTTAGGGTTTTACAAATCCCCAAGGCACTTCACAACACAATCACTCATTCATCCATTCACATGCTGGTGGTGATGAGCTACGATGTAGCCACAGCTGACCTGGGGTGCGCTGACAGAGGCGAGGCCTGCCGAGCGCTGGCGCCACCCTCCCTCAGACCACCACCAGATTTAGATCAGCTCAGCGGTGCAGGTAACAAGCCCTCGTTAATTATATGTTTCTGAACAGGGTATCCGCGGGTCCTTAAAAGCCTTAAAAATTCTTAAATTTGCTTTTCAAAGTTTAAGGCCTTAAAAATCCTTAAAAATTACAAATAATCCTTAAATACAGTTTCCAAAGGTCTTAAATTACCAAAGGCCCACTAAACAAGATTCTTTTATTTCTATAAAATTTTTGTGAATTTCTAGTTAGTGTTCAGGATTTTTTGTGTACGATGTTGGCGTAAGCGGAACTGTACACATTCAGCTGGTTGTGAAAGGGGGCTATTTTTAGATGAGCACATTAGCTGGTTAAGCTAGTGGGAGTTTGCGCCATGGGGAAGTTTAATGGTAACTGGATGGCTAATCCCATGTTCGCGATGTGGTTAGCGCTGGTTCCAGGCAATAGCTGGAAATTATAGCTTAAATTTAATTTTAAAAATAGCTTAAATTTGGTCAAAGTGGCCTTAAATAAGGTCTTAAAAAGTCTTAAATTTGGCTCCCTTAACCCTGCAGATACCCTGTCTGAAAGATAATTGTCAGATGCAAAAGATTAAAGCTTATGCTATTCTAACCCAGAGGTGGTTGGATTCTGGGGGAAAGACTTGGTTAAGGACTCTTCAAACACGGCACGTTTCCTCCACAGGCCTGAACTTAGTGCTGAAGTGGGAGCGGCACCTGTCTGTTCCAGCTCAGATCATACGTCTTCCTGATTTCTAAGGCGTAAAAACGGCAGCTTTCGCTCCAAAGCCTCTGCTGGCTGCTCCTGCTGGTTTATTGTTGTGACTTACTGGGACATTTGAGTAGAACTGAGCCATGCTTAATGTTTTTAGCAACACCTGTGCTTTTGCTGCCATGACAAGTCAAAAGGCCTGCTGTGCATGAAAAGGGCCTGCTGGAGGAGATATTGTGACTTTCTTTCTTTGACTGCCAAACCTGAGGAGCGTATGTAGCTTCAGGAAGGGAGGAAAGGAAGGATGAAGTCAAGATGGAGGCCTCCGGAGCCTCCAGCAACCGGAAAAATGGAATTCGATTTGAACCCTTTGACATTCTGGTCAACTGTTTGGTGGAGCACAGTTTCATCCCAACTTGAGAAAATGGTCTCAATTGAACGGAAATGCAAAAGCAAACTTTTATTTTCTTGATGTGGACAATTAAATAAAAATAAAACAAAATATTCACCAAATAATAAAAATAACATGTAAAAAGCTCATTCTTTGTGAGTTTATTGCTAGAACAATTAATTTTTAGAAAATTCTGTAAACTCCTGAAGCAACTTCAGCTACAGTCACCAAAACTCCCACTTTAAAAACTGCTATGTAAATGATTGATTGGCTAAAATCCACAACCCAACATTACTTTGGCTTGGTCACCAGGAGGTCACCTCAGTTACATTTTTGCTGAAATTCTGCAGTTGAATTTTTATGGATGAAATTTTTGCTGATGTACTTTAAGTAAAAACATAAAAATCAAATACATAATTTCACAGCATGAAACTAAAATTTCTAAAACAAGTGTTATTGTCATGAGACTGTATTTATTCCATACTTAGTCCCAGAGCCCAGGTTACATCCAAATTGGTTAAAATCTGAACCAATCCAACTCTTGCATTAGATTTGGATGTCAAGCATTTTATGAGAAAAAAAATTTGACAAATGATTACAACATAAAGTTAGCTCAAGCTGAAACATGAACTAGTTGCTCTGCCTTGGGCACTAGGCCCCCTGGAGGGACCCTGTGTGACCGCCCCTGTCCAGAATGACCCAGCATAACCCTGGTACTTCCTGCCCTTTAGCGAACTGGTTAAAGTCAGAAGCACCTAAAGCCACATGAGGACTGTCCGCGTGGTCCGAGAAGGCGGTCATCTCTCCCACAGAGACCGAGGTGCCTCGGAGCTCCGCTGCCGCTTCCCTCTCACCACACGGTGGCCCTCTGGCTCTCCTTCTCGTCGCTCCTCCTCGCCTCCGCCACCATAAAGCTCAGCCTCCTTCCTCCTCCTCCTCCACAACCACCTCCGCTTCCACTCTTTCCTCCCGTCGACCCTGCGCAGAGCCACACACGGCCTCCAGCTCCGAGCAGCCCCGGTGCGACGATGGTCGGCGGCTCGTGCGCTCGCCGGCTGGCCCGCCGCTCGCGGTCCGCGCTGATCGCTGCCCTCACGGTGCTGCTGGTGCAGACTCTGGTCGTGTGGAACTTCAGCACCCTCGACTCCGGCGAAGAAAACGCAGGCTCCAGCGTGCGGGAGAAGAGGGACCATATCCCGGACAACAAAGCCGCTGGCAGCGACTATTTCCAGCGCGGAGCAGAGCGACAGCATCCTCCTCCGCCGGGGAGGGGCACGTCTCGCCTCATCCAGCAGCCGGTAAGACAGACGGGCTCTGAGCCAGGCTCAGCGGGGATGGAGGGGCTGGCAGGCGGGTCACGGCGTCCACATTTGAGTTGATCTGTTGTAAGGCCTGGGTGAGATGTTGGAGAGGTGGTTCTCCTCAACAGAAACTGTTGGATGTCTTAGCTCCAGGGCTGCTGGGCTGAATGCTCCCACTGTCAGGAGCCAGAATGAACACATTCCAGTCCAGGAAGAGCCGGAGCTGGGAGGGAAATTAGGAGTCAGCTTGCAATTCATTCCAGGGCAGAATCTTAGCAGGGGAGGCAAACCCTTCATAAGGTAGTGGAAGAGCCACTTGTCTGGGTCTGGAAGAGCCTCTACCTGTCCAGGTGCGTTTGGTGTTGAAGTGACCGGTCTGTGTTATCAGCAGTCTGGAGTTAGATCCTTCTGAGCAGAGCTTCTGGTCTGGGCCATCTTGGAAAGCATGCCACGTTCTTCTTCTCCAGAAATGTGCCCTCGACGCCGGTGTGGGCGCCTCTGAGAGCAGCAGATTGTGATGTAGATCCCCCGCGTGACAGTCAGCCACTTCAGCCTCTACAGACACACTTCACTCGAGAGGTGGGACACCACCTGCTGCCACCTCCACAGCAGAAAGTCCTGCAGCGGCGGGTTGTGTTCAACAGTCAGACCGTCTTTAACACAACAGATTTCCTCCTTGTTGAGTTTTTATTGGATGCATCGGCCTTTTCCTCTGGTCCTGAGGGAAATCAGGAGAAACGACGGCTCGCTGGGGTGTTATTATCATGTGCTGTTCATGAATCACTCACAGCAGCTACAGATTAGTTATGTCAGAACCTTTTCATGCTGCATCAACACCAATTTGTCCGTCTGCATTTCACTTTTAGTGTTTCTATTCGAATCAAATGTGACCTGTTAGGGAGCCTGGAGGCTGCTCAGTTGTCTCACTCCCTCCTGAAACTCGCCTCCTCACCCTCGGCCAAATACTCGTCACAGACTTTTACATCCTCTCGTCTCTCATTTGTTCGTGTTTGTGATTTGGCGAAGGCTGCCCAGCCCAGCCTGGGGGTGACGCATAAGCGCCGACGGAGCGCGCCTGAGAGGAGAGGAGAGGAGAGGCGAGCAGCAGTTTGATCCTGAGCAGAAGGAGCCAGCAGCTACGACAGGAGGATTTTTTTATGTGTTGTACGGGAACGTCTTTGGATGTGTCGCCCAGCAGGCAGCAGCTACAGCTGTCATTAGTGTTTGTCTCCTGTTGTTCCCTTTGACGGAAAGGCTGCTGAGAGAGCGCGGGCGGGTTTTTGTCCACAGCACGTTGTCACCATCATCTCTGCTTTTATCGTCTTCGCCCAAGCTCTGACTACCTGTAGAGCACCCGTGTTTCTAATCGCTCAGAGTTTTATACATCTGTGCATCATCTTCTGTTGGAAATCACTTTCTCACTAGAGTTAGTTGAGCAGACCAGTGAAGGCCGTCCGGATGAGTGAAGCCATGCCCTCTGCGCTACGCTGGTTAGGAGCTTTGGAAAGCTTCGTTCTCCGAGCCCCCGAGCCTCACATCTGGTCATCAGCTTTCTCTTTCCACTCCCCCCAGCCCTCACATGCTGTCATAATACCCTTGTGCCCAGCGGGGGTTCACCTCACTCCTCTTGTAAAGACCCCCCATCACGGTAGTACACGTGACATTACCCTGCTGTACTCGTTTTCCATAGCATCAAGCTTTCCTAATGGTTTCCCACAGCCATGCAAACATCTGGTAGTGTGTAGTTTATGGTTCTACCGTACGGTAGCAGAAGAAGTCACGCTTGACCACAGATGATTGTAAATTATAATATACATGTTGGAGTTTTAGTACATTAAATGCTTTGTTGCTGCCGCTGCACCAACTAGAGCACAACCACTGTGCCTTGCTATATTTTTGTGCCTTACCGTTTGAAAGAACAGTTTTGCTCCCTAAGTGACAAAATGTTCCCGTTAGAAACAAACATTTCACACCGACAGTCCTTTAGAAGAGCACCTTATGCGGGTTTTTACACCTGGGCAAAACCCACAGGAGGCCACTTCTTACTTCTGACTGATCAAAAGGACAATCGCACACCCTTATCTCACAGCGATGACGTCTTAACAATATTGAAACTACTTCTCACACACCATGCTTTTATTTTTACAGGACACTTTTTTAAGTGGCTCTAATGTAATCTTCAAACCCCGAAGAGCTCAAGTCATATTCTCCCTTTGAATTATTGCCACACGGGGTAACACCAGTAAGTGTTCTACGTTTTGCATTTAGGGTCCAGACTGAAATCCGTTATTGTTGTGTTGTTCCTACCAAGACCACAGAAGTGATTCATCTCAGCGAGCTTGTGATCACAGCTGACTCACACACACACACACACACACACACAACAGTAATCACACAAAAATATTACTGAACTAAAATTATACTTGTGCATAAACGGGGGGGGGGGGGGGGGGTCTATAAACACACATGAGCTCATCTAAGATGATCACATGTCATAAAAAGGTTCTTTTTTTCCCCAGACTTTTACATTTTTTAAGCAAAGGAGAAAGGTCAAAGGTCGTAACTTAACTCTAGTTACTGGCTTCTTTTCGTTTTTCAGCAACAGTGAGATTTTATTGTAGGGCTTCTCAAAACAAACATGAAACATTTTCAAGGTGAGATTGTTTTTATACCTGAGGAACAGTTTTAAGATGGATTTGTAAAAACACAGTTGGGGGAGGGGGGGGGGGGGGTTTAAGGATATTAAAATAAGTAGAGAGTTAGATTTGGCTTTTTAGCATTTTAGTCATCATTTTTATTCTTAGAGAAACTAAAAGAATAAACTACTGTGTTTATTACATTTTTGTGAAGCATCTTTGAGTGACCTACAAAGCGCTATACAAGTTTGATCTATTATTATTATTATTATTATTATTATTATTGTTATTATGAAACTAGTCCTTGACACCAGTGAGAGATATAATGAATGTTTTGATACAACACTGTTAATATCTCCAGCAACCAATGATAACCATTATCTCTCTCTCACACACACACACACACACACACACACACACACACACACACACACACACACACACTTTGTCGCATAAACAAAAGCCAAGGACAGTCTAGAACGACAGACAGCATGAAGCAGATGCTGCTCAGACTTTATTCCTAAACAAACAAGCTTCACTAATTATTGCTGCTAATTTGGTGAAATTGTTTTCATTACAACTTTTCAGTTTCAGCGTCTCAGCGGTGGACATCGGGGCCCAGTGGTTAATGCTTCTATTCGTGAACCATTATTTCGTTCAGAACTTTGAGACAAGTTAGAAAATTAAAGTAAATACGTTGTAAAGGTACCGATGCAGCTACTGCCTGATCCGAGACAAAACTACGTTTGATGTATGAACCGTGTAAGAAAACCAAAGTGGCTCGTTAAAGGGGCATTATGGAAGTTTGACAGCCAAAACATGTATAGAAATAATAAATTTCTTCTTCATACATTCTCCTGCAATGCCCTGGTCCTGTAGAATGAGCCCTGGCATTTTTACTGTGATTGCCTGTTTTTCTGTAAAATCACAGAAAAAGAGAGATGCTCGGGTCGAGCAGGCTGCTTCATGCGCGTTCACGCTCAGGCATCGCCCGTAGCATTTGCTATCCGTAGCTTTAGCAGCAGAGAGAGGCAGTGCCAACTCAGCGACTTTGCCGCTTTTCCAACGCCTAGTGACGAACCTAGCTACATTTCTGAGGACCCTTATCTACTTTCTGTAGAACTTACTTCTAGATATTTCCTGCAAATTAGCAACAAAATAACCATTTTCGCTTCGAACCGTTCTTTGGTTTGACGTTGTTTCAGGTGTCATCAAGGATATAAATGTTACCGATACTGTGAATGTTACTAGAGTGTAGCTCACCTTGTAAGATGTCTGACTCTCGTGCAGATGACCTGGGTTTGACTCTGGATGTGAACATACTTTATTAAGTTTCTTTTTTACATTAATGGTATAAAATTTTATTACAGTAAGATGCCCAAATTTTTATTTGAGACTCGCCGAACGGCATTGAATTCACAGATAAAAAAGATGTGGGTTCAACTTCATTTTGGAACAATTTTTCAAGCAAGGGAAGGGAATGATCTGAGCATGCAGGAGGACTGACCCATCTTAAACCTTTGTCGGCTGTGCTGAAGAGAAAGGTACAGAACCAAATGATTTAATTAATTAGCTGCGCGTTCTCCTGTCCTCTGTCCTCCGGGCCACACACACACACACGGAACTGTCTCAGCTGTTATTTTCGTTAAGGAGTGTGCACGTACAGCATGCGCGCCTCGTGCACGAGCCTACTATTGAAACTGCCGTTACGCTTTTGGCCTGAGGGGGCAATCGCGAGCATAAAAATTCAAAAGTCCGAAAAGTCACTTTAAGGTCACCAATCAGTGGCTTATTGTGGTCGCCATGGTAACCCCACACCTGTGTTTCTCATCCCCTGACATTAATGTGGCAGACAGGAATGTGGACTCAAACGTGACTCTGAGACAAACCGTGTGGGACAACCAGATGTTGGACTGAGAGGACTCAGGAGAAGGTCCTGTTGGTCACATGTCAGTTTTGATCTTTCTTGTGTTTTTTAAGGAGATATAGCAAATAAAAAAACGTGGAAGAGCTTATCTACACCAGATTATGTCTGTGTATGAAATGCTTGGGTGTGTATTCTGCCTTCTGAGGGAAAACCGTAACTCCCATATAGCAGTAAAATGGGTTGTGGATGAAAGGAGACAGAAACACCTACAGTTTGATGTATTATTTGTATAAATACGTACAAACAAGGCTGTGGGTAGACAGCTTGAATGTTACTGTGACATAATTGCATTCTGTGGAAAATCAGCAAAAATACCCAAAATGGGGAAATTTTATGTCGTTTGAAGGAATTTTATCTTTTTGTCTTTTAACTCCTTTTTCAACAGCACCGTTGGACATGTAACTTACATGAATCACAAACAGACACCAGTAAGG